GAGGATCGAACCCGGGCCGCACACATGCCAGGCGAGCGTGCTACCGCTTGAGACACATCCCCAGCCCCTAGCAAGACTCTATCTTAAAACAAAACTTTTTAAAAAGTGCTGATGGTAAAGCTCAATTGTAGAGTACTTACCTAGCATGTCCATTGCCAATACTGCAAAACTAACAAACAATAAATAGTAGAAATAACTGAAATAACTGTCCATCAAGTGATGCATGATAAGAAAAATATGGTATCAGGTCAAGGCCAGCCTCAGCAACTTAGTGAGTCTCTAAGCAACTTAGTGAGTTTCTAAGCAATTCAGTGAGACCCTGCTTAGAAGAAGAAGAAGGAGAAGGAGAAGGAGAAGGAGAAGGAGCTGAGGATGTGGCTCAGTGGTTAAAAAAAAACCCTGGTTTTAAAAATAAAAAAGATTGTAGTGATGGTCACACACCTCTGAATATGCTAAACCCCACAGAACTGTACACTTTAAATGGAGGAATTGTATAGTTCATGAAGAGTAGCTAAAATGTGGAGCCCAGTAGCAATACTGAAGTTGGCCTCAGGCCCCTTAGTGCCCCACTGTCTTGGTTTGCCGTGGGCTGGGTCGGTCCCCCCGCCTGCTCTAGATTGTGGACCAGGCTATTCTGGACTGAGCCCCAGGCCTGGTGCAGGGCCTCTGAGAGACTGCCCTTCTCCCGGGCCTGGTCATAACAGGGACAGCCACAGTCAGGTCTCTCCAGTGCTGTCTCCTGGCTCTCTCAGGAACTGTCTTGCAAGCCAGGTGGGTCTAAGGTTTCATCTCAGGACATGCTGCTGGGCAGAGCAGGCCTCCTCAGGACTAGTGGGCAAGGAGCCCACCCACATTAAAGTCCCTGGGTGGAGGCTGCGTGCTCCCTGCTGGGCAAGAGAGAGCAGTATATATGGGCACCGCCTTGGTGCAGTCCCCACAGAGAAGACTAGACTAACTGGGCATGTGCCATCCCCGGGAGGCCACAGCACTGGGGGCTGCTCCACTGTGCCCTAGCAGCTCCTCCTGAGGGGTCCAGGTCCTGGCTTGTACAAAGGTGATGGAGAGCCAGCCTCTGCTCATCTGCTGACCCAAGTCCTGAAGCCCAACCTTAAGCCAGGCTGGGGGTGCCCAGGATAGGAGTGCAGTGGCAGACAGGGTCCTGGAACCCCTCCCCATCCCACCACCATAGGCCTGGACCTTGAAGGCATTCTGGGACCCACCTAAGTCCCCCACCTCACTCTGCCTGGCAGGGCTGGCCTGAGATGCACCCTGAAGTATCTGCCACTCTTTTGTTCACTTGACAAATGGGATCTTCTAGTGGCAGTTTCTAGTGGTGACCGAGACAAGGTCCCCACCTGAAGGCAATTTCTGGTGGGTGTGTGTTGGAAGCTGTAGCTGCAGACAAGTAGAAAATCAGATTCAAATAAAAAGGAAACATCTTGTGCAGGCAGAAGCCCAGAACTGCTGTGTACCCCAGGTCAAGCTCCACTGTCAGGGCCCCTGGGGGAAGTGGGCAATTTGGGGCTCTGTCCAGCCCACTTGCTGGACAGATGTCCTTTCTAGTGCTAGAAAAAGACTCCAGGAGGCTGAGTAGGGCCAAGAGTGTGTTTACACATATGCATATGTATGTGCATGTTGTATGTGTTGGTGTATTGCTGTAGGTGTGTGCACATACGCTTATGTGTGATTACACATGTACATGTATTCACATTCCTATGCTCATAAATCTGCATTTGTACACATGTGAGTGTGTGTGTATTTGTGTTTGTGTGTGTGCATTTGTATGTGTGCTTGTGTGTGAGGTGCTAGGTTAGGGTGGTCCCCTGCGAGCAGGTGATCCTATTAGGCATCTCCCTCCTCCAGCTCAGACTGGCTCCCTGGTCTTTTCCTGTGCCCACCTTGCCTCTCCAACACCTCCTGCCCTTATCTCCATCTCTCCAGATGGGCCAGCTCTAGTTCAAGGGCAGGAGGTGGAGGCCTCTTGTGTGCAGGGTGAGCCTTGTTGTGAGCTTCCAAAAAGGTGAGACAAGACAAGCCCTGGATTACTTTTCCGGAGGGCATAGATACCTTGCAGGGGAACAGGGTGGCAGCCACTGCAGGGCTCTGTCTGAGGCAGTGATACCAGGCAGTGCCATCTACAACCAGGGGAAGCCCTGGCAACTGAGGAAGCTGTCACCTGCCCTCGGCCTGCAGACAGTGTCCTGGGGTGGCCACAGTTTCCAGCTGGGCACTGGCCTAAACCAGACATTGAAGGAGTATTCCTTGTTCATGTTCTCTGCTCTTTTTCATATGCATTATTTTATTTATTTATTTTTATGTGGTGCTGAGGATCGAACCCAGAGCCTTGCACGTGCTAGGCGAGCGCTCTACCACTGAGCCACAGCCCCAGCGCCATGTTTTCTGTTCTTTAGTAATAAACCAGACAGGAAATGCTGGGCTTCAAGGCTCCAGATTGAGGACATAGCCTGGTGGATATGAGAAAAGGCGGAAGGAAGAGAGCTCAGGCCCGGCACCACTTCCCTCTCAGCCCCATCCCACGCTGAGGGGCCCTGGTTCTCGTGAGAGCCAGGGGCATTACTCCTTGGAGGGCCCTGGGCAAGGTCTGAATAGGCCCTCAGGGTCCAGAGTTGGGAAGACACAGTGCCCCTGGGTCTGAGCAGGGACCAATGGCCGGAAGCCAGCGAGAGGGCTGGGCACTGAGGAAGAGGAACCTCACTGCGCAGCAGTGGCCTGCAAGGGGCCTAGCGCTGTCCCTGGTCGTGAAGCTGGGGAGGAAGGGATGGGCAAGGCAGGTGGGGACCTGGACAGGCAAGTCGGGCGCCAGGGCTACCAGGGCCCTGGTGGCAAGCTGCGCTGCGCCCAGGCTGTTGGACCCTGCTCCCTCGCGGGTGTCTGTGCTGTGCTCGGCTGGGGTATGTTTGGGTTGGCAGGACAGAGGCCACCCCAGAGGCCCGGAGCAGAGGCTCCCAGCAATGTTGGTGGAGCGCATTGGGTGCAGGAAGCTAGCCCACAGCTCCCCAGCTCCCAGACACCCTGGTCCCCAGCCCCCTCTGGGGCTGGTGGAGGTGTTTGGTGATCCCTCCAGGTTGCCTGAAAGTAACCCAAGCCTCTCTTCCCGATGCCCCTCCCCTGCACACTCCTCCTGTCCTGTGACCTTTTTTGGGGGGGTACAGGGGATTGAACTCAGGGCACTGGACCACTGAGCCACATTCCCAGCCCTATTTTTATTTAATGACAGGGTCTCACTGAGTTGCTTAGAGCCTCGCTTTTGCTGAGGCTGGCTTTGAAGTCGCCATTCTCCTGCTTCAGCCTCCCCAGCCGCTGGGATGACAGGCTGAGTCACAGCCTGGCTCCCCCCCCACCCCTATTGCCTTTTGGGGTCCTTGTCTGTGGGTGGGCTGGCAGATTTGAAGGGACTTAGAACCCTATCTCACCCCTGCTGAGCCCACTTCTCCCCTCCTGGGTCTCAGTCACTTTGCTAGAAGAAGCTGTTACAGCCAGAATCCAGGCATTGCCTTTGGGATGGGTGTTTTCTCCATACAGGTGGGACCTCTGTATGGAGATCTGCCCAGGACTTAGCCCAAGTGAAAGACTGGGACTTGAGATTGGCACCACTCCCCAGTCAAGGTTCCCAAATGCCACATTCCAACCTCGTGACAATCAGAGCAGGTGGGTGGTGCACTCCTGTGATCCCAGTGACCGCCCTGAAGAGACTGAGGCAGGAGCATCACAAGTTCCAGGCCAGCCTCAGCAACTCCGTGAGGCCTGTCTCATATACATATATATGGCTCCGTGGTTAAGCACCTCTGGGTTCAAATCCTGGCAAAACCAACAATCAGGGGGGTCTCCAAAGAAAACAATGGTATTTATTTGGGCAGGGAAAGTTTTTAAAGGCAAAAGGGAGAAGCTCGGGAGCTGCTTGGATCCAGAGCTCCATGGTCTTGGAGACCCCCCCAGGACTCGGCGTCAGGGCTTTGGTGCAGGGGCCTCTACTGTGCTCCGGCCAGAGCCTCTCGTCTGAGCTGCCCCTGTCCTAGAGAATGCTAAGGTGAACTGTGCAGGGACCTGTGTGCAAGTGTGCCAGGCGTACAAAGCCCGGGACGGGTAGGACAGGGAATCTCTTGTGAGGCTCTGGGGCATTCCTCGAGCAGGTACAGGAACGAGTGAGGAGCCCTTCCCAGCGGTTACTTCCTGGCTCTGGTTCTGTCTGGTCTGAGAAGAAGGATTTTTTCCTTGGGATCACCGACTGTCACAGTCACAAACTTGCTGACAGAAGGACATGGCTTGGAGGGTCTGAGGGGCTTGCAGTAGGGTGGGTGCTGCAGCGAAGGGGACTCTGCCCTCGGGGCACTTCTATCCAGGGACTTTCTACTCTCTTCTCTCCAGGGTGTAAGGCCAGGGGGGCATCTAGAGGTGCTAGATACAGCCCGCCAATGACCTGTTCACTGCAGGGCCCGCTGCTGATGGACCCCCCACCTGGCAGGGAAGGTGGCTGGAGGGGTCTGGGCTCACACCCCTAGTGGAGATGGGAAATACCCCAGACTGGGTTCAGGCTGGGTCAGTGGAGGGGAGGGGTCTGCAGGGCAATGTCGGGGAGGCAGGGTGCTGACAGGCCCCCGGGGCTCTGGCACCCTGGGCAGCGCTCCCAGGGGAAAGTGTCTCTTGTGGCTAGTTAGTTCCCAGGACCCCCTTTGCTGAGGCAACGGCCCAGGTGGCCTTAGGGGGTAGGGCTGCAGAGGAGGGTGTGGCCAGCCCCAGGGCACACCCGAGGTGGGGTGGCACACAGCTCAAGAGAAGAGCTGCCTGGGCGCAGTGCAGAGAAAGTCTGTGCCGGGGACAGGTGAGAACTGGACGTTGGCAGCATCTGAGGGAGAGCATGGGGGCAGGAGGAGGGCCGAGAAACACCTCTGGTGGGGAAGGGGAGGGAGGAGCCTGTCGCCACACAGGGGAAAGGGTGTGCGAGCCTCAGGCTTGTCTCCCAGCTTGAGGTCCGTAATGGCAGTCCCTTCCCGCCTCAGACCTGCACCCACGCAGCCCTGCCAGTGGGTGTGTGGTAAGAAGGAAGGAGAGAACAGGCAGAAAAGAGGCTGAGGGAGGCTGGGCAGTCAGCGAGGAGATCAGGAAGACGGTGGCCACAGACCAGTGTGCCTGTCTGGGCAGGACTGGAGGCATGCCCGTCGGGCCAGCTAGGCGGTGGGAGGCTGACCAGGGTCACATGACCAGGTGGCGTGCTGGAACCGGCGCTCGTGCTGATTGTGCGAGTGGCCCCAGTGTGGCTGCTGTGTGCACTGATCCTTCCCCTCTGAGGTGCACATGACCCTGACGGGGTCACTGTGAAGGTCAGGTAAGCTGTGGCCTGGCATGTCCTGGGAAAGGGCCGCGTGGGGCCCCTTTTATTTTGATATTCATGAACAATGTTCACTTGGGGTTTGTTCGCTACAGGAGACTGAGCCTGGAGGTTGCTCTACCACTGAGACACATCCCTTGATACAGGGTCTCACTCCATTGCTGAGACTGGCCTTGAGCTCACGATCCTCCTGCCTTGGCCTCCGGAGTCACTGGGGTGACAGACATGGGCCACTGCCCTGTTCCCTTGGCATTTCTGTCCTCGTGTGTTTTTTGTTCTTTCCTTTGGGGGATTTCTCAAGAATGAGGTTGCTCCAGAGGCCTCCCCAGTCACATGCTTCCTGCAGACAGCCCTTCAGAAGGGCTACTCAGCCCCGAGGCAGAGGTTCGGGGAGGCTCTGCCCCCTACTGACACAGAGCAGAGGTGCGCGGCTTCTGTCTTGGCCAGTTTGACTGGCATCAGTTGTAGGCATACCTGCCAAGATGGGTTTCTGAGGGCGGGCTGGGAAAGCCCCGTGTCCCTTCCACAGCTGCACAGCCCTGATAAAGGCAGTGGCTGTCAGGCCTCGCCGGCCACCCGAGACTGGAGGTGGCAGAGGAAAACTCATGGAGCCGGCAGCTTGGGATCAGCAGAGCGGCTCAGCCTGCTGCGTGTGGCACAGGGCTGGCAGCTGAGGCCTCACCTGGTGCTGGTGGTGTCTGTCAGCACAGGTGGTGTCGGTCACATGGCTGTTCTGACCGTCCCCGTGCAGGGGCTGGCTTGGACAGCAAGTCGGGTGCTCACAGGTCAGGGTCTCGGGGGTTGACAGAGGGTCCTCTGCTGTGAGCTGAGTCTCTGGCTTCTCCTGCCCACCTCCTTTTCCTCCTTCTTCTCCTCCTCCTCCTCTTCCTCCTCCTTCTCCCGCCCCCCCCCTTTTTTTGGACTAGGAATGGAACCCAGGAGTACTTTACCACTGAGCCACATCCCCAGCCCTTTTTTAAAATTTTTGAGACAGGGTCTTGCTAAGTTGCTTAGGGCCTTGCTAAGTTGCTGAGGCTGGTTTTGAACTTGTAATCCTCCTGCCTCAGCCTCCTGAGTTGCTGGGATTATAGGTGTGAGCCACCGCACCCAATTCTGGCCTCACGTTGGCGGTCGGGACTTCAACATATGAATTTGAGGGGGACATAAAAATATTTGTCCTAGAGGCTGGGGATGTGGCTCAAGCGGCAGCATGCTAGCCTGGCATGCGCAGGGCACCACATAAAAATAAAACGAAGATGTCGTGTCTGCCGAGAACTAAAAAAATAAATATTGAAAAATTCTCTCTCTCTCTCTCTTAAAAAAAAAAAAATATATATATATATATATATATTTGTTTTAACATGGACACATGCTGCTCACCCTCCAGCAGGCCAGCCCTGGCTCCTTCATGAGACAGAGGTTGCAGGAGTCTCCCTGAAGTGGGGCAGGGCTGGGCCAGGGCATACCCCCTCCCCTTCTGAGCTTTGCCAGGCTCTGGGGATCTTAATGTCTGGGTGTGGGCAGGGCCCTTGGTCACCAATCCTGGAACATAGGTTATCCAGAGCTACCCATGGGCCTGTCCCACTGGCCACTCCTCTGGCTACCTTGAGGAGAATTCCAGGAAGGGAAGAGACAGAAACCTCAGTTGAGGGTCCAGCCAGGCATCCGGCCTTCTGAGTGCTGGGATTATAGGCACGTATCACCACACCTGGCAAATTTTTTTAAATGTTTGCTGAAGCTATTTAATTGTGCTTTTGAGACCCAGAGCTCCTGCCACACAGGGCCCAGCTGCTCTGTCCTCTCCCTAGGTCTCCTCTATCTCTCTCTTCTTCTCTCTCATCCTTTTTCCCAATATGGGAAGTGGAAATGGAGCCTCTGACTGGGTACTCACCCTCTAGCCACCTGGATGTCCTCATGGCTGGGGAACAGGCCAGTCAAACTTTGCATCTACTGCCTAGAAGATCTGTGTCTTTTCCTGACTCAGAATTACATGGGGTTGGAAATCGCAGCCCCAGAAGGATTACGTCCCTGAGGTTGGAGGCCCTCAGCTGTGCCAAGCCTTCAGCCATTGCTGGGCCTGGGCGGAGCGCCTGGGGCTGCTGTCCTGGCTGGAGGCCTACTGCCCTCTGGCTGGCCATCAGTGCTTTCGTCCCCATCTTCCTGTTTTCCTCCAGTGGGAGACCTTGCCCCGTCTTGCCCGTGTTTTTCCAGGTCCTGGGACATGCTCTCTTCCCCAACCCTCACCCCAGGGGAGTTCCTGTTCTTGAAACCCAAGGACTTTCTCCTCCCTTCTCCTTCCTCCGTGGTACTTAAAGGCTTTTGAGAAATTTGGTTCAGGCGGTGAGGTGAGTTTTCATCATCATGGGGATATAATGTGTCACTAGCAGAGCTTGTCTCATTCAGGACAGCAGACAGGGCCACTGCCCCAAGGCAGACATGTGGCATGTGCCTCTGCTGGTGGCCAGTTTCTTCCCAAGAACACGTCCTGCTCCTCTGGAGTCCTGAAGCCGGCGGTTCTCCGTGGCAGGCTCCCTGGGTCTCCCACAGGTCCTGCCTGTCTTGAAGGACGGTGGCCTGCTGCTTTCCTGCTCTGGGAGCACTGGGCCTGCTGGGTCTCCTCAGCTGCTCTTCCCCGTGCCCAGACTTAATGCTGCTACAGGGGACAGTTCCATGTCCTCCGAGGAACCCGGGACCACCCTATTTGGTTTAGTCTACTTTTCCTTCTTCAAGGGGCGGGGGTTTCCCAGTCTCCTGGGCCTCTGAAAGGCCTTGGGGGTTAGTAAGTGAAGGAGGCCACCCAGGGAAAGGCTCAAACCAGAGTCAGCCCTCACCGGGGGCCCTGCTGGCTGGCCCTGCCTAAAAAACAGGCCACTCCTGCCTGAGCTCTGCAGCCTGTGGAAGCTCAGGCGCTGTCCACGCGTGGTGACGCTCCCGTGACCTCAGCCGCTGGGAGGCCGGGACAGGAGAACCCTAAGTTTGGACAACTTAGAGACCCTTTCTCAAAATAAGTTAAAAAAAAAAAAAAAAAAAGGACTGGAGTGTAGCTCAGTGCCGAGCACCCACCCAGCACACAGAGGCCCTGGGTCCATCCCAGCACCACACACACCATCTCCAGATGCCCACTTCAATTTACAATATTGAGGTCTCTGGCTAAACTAGTTAAAACAAAAAATGCCATTATGTCTGAAAGAGATAGAACCCTATGAAATGGGACCTTGGGAGGCAGTGGACCTATCTGCACACTTTCTTGAGCTGGACTCACTAGTGGTAGCCCCTCTGCGCATCAGTACTTTAATTGAAGAGGAGCTCCGCTTGGTGCCGTGGTTTCCCACTCTCCCTGCTTGTGATTGATGGACATCTTGACTGTTTCTGGTGAATACCTTGAGACAGCTCTTGGGCTGCAATGGTGGTTAACTGCAAGACCTTGCAACTCTCTGCCTCTCCATCTGATTTCAGTCTCTCTCTCTCTCTCCCTCTCTCTCTCCCTCTCTCTCTCCCTCTCTCTCTCCCTCTCCCTCTCCCTCCCTCTCCCTCTCCCTCCCTCTACCTCTCCCTCTCCCTCTCCCTCCCTCTCCCTCTCCTGCCATCTATACTAAGATAACTTGTAAGGATTGTTGCAAAATGTAAATTTAAAAAGGAAACAAAGGGGCTGGATTGTGGCTTAGTGGTAGAGCACTCACCTAGCATGCGTGAGCGCTGGGCTCAATGTTTAGCACCAGATAAAAATAAAATAAAGGTATTGGGTCCACTTACAACTTAAAAAAATATTTAAAAAAAGGAAAAAAGGCAGGAAAGAACCAATAAGTCCGAAATAAGGAACAACATGAAGCAAGTTATGGGTATGAGGCCACAATTTTGGTAATGAAGGTTCAAAATAAAAGAGAATATTTGGGGAGAAGAAACAATTTTCTATGACAAGGTTTTTGTTCTAAGATAAAATGCCAAAATGAAAAGACAGAAAGACAAGGCAAAACCAGAGGATCACAGCATGTGGCAGGGGATCTGAGACGTCACAGCTCAGAAAGGAAAGTGTGGCTAAGTCAGCTACAGGCAAGGAGGTCTACACTTAATGCATGATGGAAAACCAGGGTCTGATTATGTTTAAAGCAGCTAGATTCTATGCTATAGCTGAAGTTTATAAAAACTGGCTTAAGGAACAAAGCTTTTGTGTTTTATTGAGATAATCTCTTGTATTTTCTGTTGCATTTGTTAAGCTTTTGATTACTTAGGAAAATGAGTCTTAGCAAAGCCAAGGTTTAAGTGTCTATTCATTTTATTTATTTATTTTTGAGTTGGAATCATTTTTAATAAATACAAAAAGTGAGTGCTGACTTTTTTTTTTTACACACAGGTCTAATAGCCAAAATGTGCAGAGGAAACGAGCCTCTGCTCTGTCCTCCACACTCATTGTCCCCATTTTGTGGCTGAAGCGGTAAACAGCCTCACTTCTCTTCAGAATACACGGGGCTCCTGGTGCTTTACAAGACAGCCACCGTGCTCTTTGTCAGTTTTATAATATGTACATGTCCCTCCCCAACATCTCCTTTCTTAAAAAAAATAAAATAAAAGAAAGAAAGAAAATCAGGGGCCCTTCCCTCCGGTTGTGGAGCATCATTTCTACCCCATAATGAGACAGACAGTGGGGTCCTCCCTAGGAGCAATGTACTGAAGGGGTGAGGTGGCCAGCGCTGGGACACCCCTCTGCACAGCTGCACTCTGGTGTCCCATCGAGGACAGAAGGAACATTGAGGACAGCTGGAGGGCACGGTTGACAATGAGGGGAGAATTCTTCCCACCAGGTTGGGATCAATGTGCCACAGTTTAAAGAGATTTTTGTTTTCTCCCCAAATAGTCAGCAGTCAGATTGAATTGAATTTCAAATTTCTCCCATGGAGACAGCTCCAGAGCGGTCTCCACCGATCCTCCAGGCCTGAGGGCAGAGCCCTGCTCTCCTCCTGCAGCCTGCCCAGCTGGTTAGCCTAGAGGTGTCTGCCGCTGGGTGACTTCTCTGTCTGGGGACGACGTCACACAGGAGGCGCTGGTCCCTGGCTACCCTGGAAAACCTGGACCTTTTCTGAGCCACTAAGAGGGAGAGATCAAAAGTGGCTCTGGCCGCCGACCGACCGGACCCTCTCCGGGAACGTCTCCGACAGAGTCTCTCCGAAGGGTCCCATCTGGCTCGTCGTCGTCATCGTCCTCTTCCAGCTCTTCCTCAGTTTCCTCCGTCGCCTTTCGGGAACAATTCGTCGGGGACAGCGGCTCCCCAGCTCCGGCAGCGGCCAAGGTCGTGTGTCTGTCCATTTTAAAGTCTTTGAAGTGACCACTTAATGACTCTGATCAAATCGACAACAGTCATTGTAAGTTGACACTGTGTCTGTGAGTCAAGCTGGGCTGCCATCCGAGTGCCATGTCCGCCGTGTAGCTCGTCCCTAAGTGTAAGGTCGCTCAGGCCTAGCACGGGCAAGGTGACCCAAAGTGCTTTCTTTCACACAATGTGCATTGTATTTGGACCTTCAGCACATCAAATAGTCAATAAAACTTTTGGCATTTCTGCCACTTTCATTCGGTACCATTAAGATGGACAGAAACTTACCAGTTGGGAAGTCCACCATTAAAACCTGTTGAGTACCTGTTTGCTCTGCGTGTTAGATATTATGATATTAGATGCACTTGTACATGATGCAATTGATCTATTTGTGGTCATTAGCACTGTTTCCTAATCTTATTAGAGATCTAAAGCTATTCTTTGATTTTTTTTTTCAATTTTGTTAGTCTTCATAGTCCTGTTAAAGGCAGAATCTCACAGTTATAGTTCTCCTACTGAGCTATGGATTCTAAATTTTGCTTCGAAAGTAAAAGCTAAATCAATACATAAAGGACTTCTGTGTAGCTATGATGCTATTCATTACTGGCTTCCCTGTAGGTTAGATATATCTGTGTTTCCCAGTGTTCAAGGTCTGGAGAGCATTTTTCCAAGCTGGTGTCTTCCAGGCAAGACTTATTTGCAGGGACAGCTTTTTCCAGGCTTATGTCTGTGTGCTTCTGCTGTGTTGTGATTCTCACCTCTGTGCACGGTACTGGATGTGCCTAAACACTATCTCAAGCAGCACCACTCTGGAAATTAAACGATTGGGCACTAGTCACCTAGGAAGTGAACCTACAAACAAAACACACTCTACTTTTTAAATATCAAAAAATTTTTTGTGTGTGGTACTGGGAATGAAACCCAGGGGAGCTCTACACTGAGCCATATCCCCAGCCCTTTTTATTTTTTTATTTTGAGACGGTTTCTCACTAAGTTGCCCAGGCTGGCCTTGAGACCCTCCTCCCTCAGCCTCCCATGGCACTAGGATTATAGGGCTGTGTCGCTGTGCCCAGCACGTTTTGTTTGTTTATTTATTTATTTTTCAGTATTAGGGATAGAACCAGGGGCATTTTACCACTGAGCTACATCCCCAGCGGTTTTTTTTTTTTTTTTTGAGCAGGGTCTAAGTTGCTCAGGGTCTTGCAATGCTGAGGCTGGTCTCAAACTTATGATTCTCCTACCTCAGCCTCCTGAGTTGCTGGGATTATGCCTGGCTTCATTTCTTTTAGTTTTTAATAGTAGATGGACACAATACATTTTTTTTTTTTAATGTGGTGCTGAGGATCAAACCCAGTGCTTCACACGTGCTAGGCAAGCACTCTACCAACTGAGCTACAGCCCCAGCCCTCATTTCCTTTAGTTTTAAAAGACAAAGTTGCATTGGGATCTGTTTGTGCCATTTAGTGCTGTGCAATTGGATAGAAACGGCCTGTGGTCAGTGGGTGACACAGGGAGGACCGTGTTGTACATTCACACTGGGATGGTGAACTGGAAGAGCTTCCGGAGAGGGCGAGCATATGCTGCATCCAGTGGGATATCAGGCCGCCTGACAGTTGCTGAATCGTCCAATCCTGGCTGTTTGAAGTCCTTTGCCACCCACAGTTTTCTCTCTCTGAAGCGCTGGTCAACAGATTCACGGAGACGCCTCTAATGACTGCTCTTCGATCATCTTCCTGACAAGGAGAGACCTATTCTTCTGCAGACTAGTTGGGTTTTCTTTAGATGTCATTGAGAAAATTGACATTATTATAAAATAAAATTATGTTTTTGGTTTGGAACTATCCTATGGCCTGGTTTGTTTTGCCTGTTGGCTTTTTATTTCTCTTTTAAAACTTATGGTTTCCTCTTAAAATTCTGCAGAAGTATGACTATTGATATTATCTGAGCCAGTGTTTTTTGCTGCTAGCCATCACCTCAGAACAGGGAAGTTAAATTGAGACCCGGGCTCCAGTTAAGCTTAGCCTAGGAGCTACTCCTTTGAAAACTTTGTATTGCCCACAGGTAGCTCTAGGGTTTTGATACTGAGTCCAACATTCATCATTTCCTTCTCAATGTGGGACCACGCCCAGGGCAGCATCCTGGCAAGCACGGACAATGAAAACCTTCCACAAGTGTCTCCTCACTCCAGGGGAACTGGGCTGCATGAAATAACCACACAAGAGACAGACAGACCTTTTTCTTTGGGTCCTGTGATGGCTCCTCTGACCTTAGGGGTCAGAGAAGAAAGAGAGTGAGGAGCCCGTGCTAAACCCTTTTATTGGGGAGAAGCCATTCAAATGAGGCAAGGGGTCAGGTGTCAGGGGGCTGAGTCTAGCTTCCTGATGTCTCCTGTCAGCAGGTCGACTGACATCTAGGGAGGCCACGCCCATCCCATGAGCTGTGTGGGGATCATGGCAGAGCAAGGCCCAGCCAAACAGAGGGGCAACATCGGGTCTGTCCACCCTGTGGGCTCAGTGCCCATAGTCCACACACACAGCCCATGGCTGGCTTGCCACATTTCCATATTGTCATCGCTCAAGGCTAAGGGGCACTCGGTTCCTATGTGGCAACTTCTGACATATTCCCCCTTTCTAAATATATAAAAAAAGAGCAATTGGGGAATTATATCTTCCAGTCACTGGATTCTTAGTCCAAGGTCATCATGATCTACTATTGAGACACAAATGAATTAGTAGAAAACAGATTTTAATAACATAATCAACTTGGAAGATCCAGATTATTATTATTATTCTGCCAAACACTCATCAGAATATTTTTAAACTTTTCCCAATTTTATTGGGAAGCATTGTATTTGGCCATAGTAACACAAACGTTTTCATTTGGCATGACATTTAAGCCTTTCCATAAACCACAGAGCAGAGGGCTCACTCACAATATTTATTACAGTGGCTTCTAGAGCATTTTAATTTAGTTCCCATCTTTCCATCAGCACTTCTCTGACTGTGAAGGATCTTGGAAATAATTTAAGTCAAATCTTAGAAAATTCACCTGTTGCAAGTTTAAAACAGAGCCATAAAGGCTGTAATTGTAGAAGCAAGGAATAATATTTAAAGTAGTGACTTTAAGGATCATGAGACCAGCAGCTTGCCTAGTTCTGGTTAATTGACTTGCACCTGTTTCAAAGCCTGAATATTAACTTCAGCATATTATAGCTCTGAAATATCAGCTGGCAATAACTAGTGATACAATAAGATAAGTTGGATTCTTACAGGCTACAGGATATTCATCATTCTTCCTCTTAATTCTCACATTTAGGGAGTTTATTGGTCTGTCAGTAATGTAAATATTTTGAAGGCAGAAGTCAAACATAAAAACATCCTTTTGGATGCCATCTCACTGAGAGTTAAAGTTTCTAGGAATTATGGCATCCTCATGTGATCGTTCTTGTCCATTTTAGAGACCAGCGTAAAATATCCACTATTTCTAGATATCTTGTGTTCTACTGACATGCACAATCCATCCACTTAGGAAAGGTGCCAGTTTCTACTGTAGAATGATTAGGGTGACAATACATTGGTGGGTATTCTATGTAAATAACTGGTCTGTATAGGAAAAATCTATTTTAGTAATCTTTCTGACAATTGTTCAGACAGGTAAATATAGTCTTAATCTCTAAGGACCAGCATGATTGGCTGGTTCAGTTTTCTGATATGCTGTCTTTTTCTCAAAGGATACTCCCAGACAGCCTGTTACCATAGGATCAACAGCTAGGGATAACTGACCACTACCGTCAGCACAATTCATCTAGTTTCATTGGTGGACTTTCCAGTCCACACCACAATGTACATTAAAAACAGACCTGGGAAATGGGTCCATAGAAGTCTCTTCGTGATTTTTACTTACCTGACGAGCTCGTGAAGCTGCATGGTTGTGAACTCTGCAGCTGGAAATTCACCTTCCTGGGCCAGTTTCTCAGTCATTTTCACAATGACAGGTTTAAAGTCTATCTTTTGAAATCTGATTTAATTTACTGAATCATGTTCAGCAGCAGTGAAACTCTCAGAATCACAATTTAAGAAAAAGTTTTAAAACATTTTATAAGATCTAGTATGTGTCTGTGGGGTCCTGTTTCCCCCTTTCTTTATTTAGTAAAATTGAGCAAAGACCTTCTTTGTTAGTAGTAATTGAGGTTAGAGATGAAGATGAGAAACTTTTTATTGATTGTAACTTCCCAATATATAGACTAGATAATTTATCCTAACGATTTAGAAAAAACCCTCAATCTCTTTCTGAGAGAAGGTCTCAAAATATCTCTATGTTTCAGAATATTATCTTTTAATTAGGCATCTCTTAATTGTCTTTTAGAAAACATGGTTGAGTTTACTTCCAAGTATAGGCAGTAGTATATTAATCTTACCATATTTTTATGGATAATAGGTCCCTTCAGAACTTATATAATATCGATAAATTTCCAACAAAGTTTGTAACTTTTATTGTTCAAAACTAACATACAACTTTAATTTGGAGAACCTCAGTCCTAATAAAATGTTCTCCCAAATCTCATAACTATCCAACAAACAAAAGTAATGTTCAAGAATCAGCAGTGTCGTTGAATCAGTCAAATTTAGTCTCCAAGGAGAATTGTCAAAATTGGGATCTAAGTCAGCAGTTTAATATATTTAGTGTTTAATCAAGGATGTGAGTTTATTCACCAAAATGAATCCTTGTCTCAAACAGTAAGAATCACTAGGCAATAAAGACCTGCCTTAAAGGAAATAAACTTAACATCTTAATAGGTCCTTATCATGTCAAAATGCGGACAAAATCTCAGCTCACATCAGGGAAATAGCCCGAAATAGCCTTGAATCAATCAGTTAGAATTTTTATAGTCAGTCCAGGACATATATGGTGAAGGCACCTCCCCGCTGCCCACTGTCTCGACAGGGTCACAGTGAGGATAAGTGCTGGCAAAGCCGCGCCAGTGGGAAACCGAAACCAGGAGACCCTTTTTATGCCCTTGGGACTTTTCATTTTCATGCTCGTGTCCTGACAGGAGGCCTGAGTATGCTTGAGGCCAAACCAAATTAAACTTCAGAGGGCTAGAACCCAACAGGCAGTTCACGCCTTGAAGGCTGTTCTACTACCTCTCAGCATATGGGGACTGCCGGGTTTCTGTTCTCGCGACTAAAAGGCTCAGGGTCACTCCAGGTAAACTGGGCTGACTGGGCTGCACGAAATAACCACGCAAGAGACACAAAGACCTTTTTCTTTGGGGTTGCTGTGACGGCTCCTCTGACCTTAAGGGTCTGCAGAAAGAGAGAGAGAGAGAGAGAGAGAGAGAGAGAGAGAGAGAGAGAGAGAGCACACGCTCTGACCCCTTTTATTGAGGAGAAGCTATTCAAATGAGGCAAGGGGTCAGGTTTCAGGGGGCTGAGTATCTTCATGATGTCCACTGTCAGCAGGTTGACTGACACCTGGGTAGGCCACACCCAAGGGCACAGTAAGAGAAGGAGACACACACAAGGCACTTCCATGGAAGATTCTACCCTAAACAGGGCAAGGGGTTATATTACAAAGGAACAGG